GGGGGGGGGGGTAGAGATAATAATATAAAAAGAGATATCACAAAGTTCGTTCAGTCAAGATTCCCGTGTATAAACTCTCTTGACTTGACGTTTGATTAATAGTCGTGTGTGAAAGTAATTTTCTCGCCAAGCCTCTTGGAAAACTTTGAAAATTTAAGCTCGTTATAGTCACGTTTGAAGGATATTACCATTTTCAGGGAAGCAACCCTCTGCATCCTTCTTCACAGGGCGATACCTATAGATAACTATCCCCTGATACCTACCAACCCTTGCAGTCCTCTCTTGGCCATAGGCGTTATTCATTAAAAGTTGACCTGATAATTTCGTTCGTTGGAAAGTGCATCCGCAGCCTCCAACTAGCCCTGAGCTATGGATCCGATTAAAAATTGATATTGAAAAAAAAAAAATGCTTTGCTGTAGCAGAGAGATTGCAATTTTTTTCAATTCACGTGATCCAAGGGGTGTATTAGAAAAATGGATTTTGTTAGTCGCGAGGTGTTTTGAATTTGAATTTTTCGTTAAATATTAAAAAAATTTTTTTTCTTTCTTTTTCTCGAAGATATTGAAATTAAAGCTGGGAGGGGCATTATGCGGAAGTGCATATTAGTTATGGATGCAGTTGCGCATGTGCAAGCTCACACGTTCCCGCGTGGCTCGTGAAACGCGTGCGTGTTGGTATAGACGCGTTTTTATCGTGGTCGAACCAAAGTAGTTAACCTACAAAAGTAAGACGGTCGGACATTATCCGGCCTTCGGTGAAACAATAAAATTGTTTCGGCCGAGAAGGATGGAACAAAGGAATTGAGGGGCTGCCATTTTTTTTTTAACGAGATAAACGAGGAGTTTGTCTTATTGGTTTAAGTAGAGTTGCGAGATAAAAAAGGTAGTTTTATGGATTTATTAATTTTTTTTTTCGGAATGCCAGTTTGGTTTCTCATGGGTAACAGTGGGTTTCTTGTGCAGCATCCCTTGATATTATCTTGGACAAATACAGCTGGAGTATCTAGAACCTTTTGTGTTTTCCAAGAGCCACTGCGTCATTTTAAAAAGATTCTGGACCAGAAGGGATGCTGTTGCGAACCACGTTGTTCCTGGTGACCTTGTTTTTTCTGCTTTTTTTCTTTTCCCTTTTTTTTTGCACTTTCAACCCCTTGGTCAACGTAAAATGTAAGGCTGGTTTAACGGTTATCGATAAACTGGCCATTGGGTTTGAAACGCGGAGAGCACGCGCGTATTTTTCCCGCAAAATCTATAACAAATAAAGAGCTACCCTGGAAAATTAACCCCCGTGAAAAAGTTGGCGACAGTTAATTTTTCTTGTTAAGGGTAAGATAATTTTTTGTGATCAATATTTTTGTTGATCGTAATACAAGGGTTGTACTGTAGTATATGAACTGCCAGAATGCGTTGGTTTTTTTTTGGGGAGGAAATTTGAGTTTCTACGTTAAACGTCGTAGGTATGGATTACGTATTATTTTAGATATTTAAATTTGAATACAAATTTTGATATATTTCATTTTCGTTCTGCGCCTATTAAAAAACTTTTGCTTCCTTGTCTCTACTTTGTATGTTACGTCACAGTAAAATTTCATTAAAAAGGTAAACTCGTTCGATTTGGGTATCGGTTTCGTTTCGCTGTTCAATTCTATGCAAAATAAATGAAGCAATTTGCATCCCCTAACCAAGAGTCTCGGTTAACCGAGTAGCAATTCGATTAAACAGTTTTAATTATGCAGAAGGATTGGTTCGCGTTTCCTATAAAAAAAAGTTGTAATCGACTTGAAATTTGAGTCTTTCAGTAGCATTTATTTTATTGTGCAAACAAAACCTCTAAGAGAAGCACATCCAGGATACAACAAGAGCGCAATAAGAAAATGAGAAAATACGCGAAAAATGCTGAAAAAAGTGTTACAGAATTTTAGAAAATTTTTCCTGTAAATTTTTTTGACTTTTGAAAAAATGATTGTGTCCAATACGTAAATTATATTGTTAATTTGACCAAAAAAATGCAATTATTATTCTAAAAACATTCTAACTCCATTCCCACTGCAAAACTCATCTCGTAACAATAACAAAGGGATCCTACATGCACAATTGGTAATTCAGACACGTAACAAACTTCAACCTCTATACGGGAAAATTATGCGACGCAAAGTTTCGGTTGGGCTAGGATCAATTTTGAAAATCGCTACGAAATATCCTAGAATACTAGAAACAAGAGTATATGAAAGCGATGCAAGGTTTCAAACGTATAACGCATTATTAAGCACCCCCCCCCCCCCC